AGAGAGTGGCTGGGCCCCTCCCAGAGCAGGGTCTGGGGTCTCTGTGCATGGGAAATCCCAGCATGTGCAGAGAGCTGGGGGGCTCTGCGAAGCCAGCACTAGCCCCCCTAACCCCATCCCTGGTTTTGTTCTTTTAACAGCCGGTTTCCAGCAAGCAGCAGTAGCATGGGAAGCCAACCCCCCCCCCCACCAGGGTTCCTGCTAATCTCTTACATCCATGTGCAGAATAAATGTTAGGTGCACCAAGGCATGAAATCCCAGCATGTGCAGAGAGCTGGGGGGCTCTGCGAAGCCAGCACTAGCCCCCCTAACCCCATCCCTGGTTTTGTTCTTTTAACAGCCGGTTTCCAGCAAGCAGCAGTAGCATGGGAAGCCAACCCCCCCCCCCACCAGGGTTCCTGCTAATCTCTTACATCCATGTGCAGAATAAATGTTAGGTGCACCAAGGCATGTGCAAATGTGCACCACCAGCCGAAATAAAAGAAACTAACTTTGCTAATTAGCTGGGCGGCGTGCGAATCTTTTCTCAGCGATCGCCCAAGCGCTCCACTTACAGGGAAGACGGCTCCCCACTCTAGCATCACAGGGCTGGGAAAGAGGGGGCGCCACCTACTCAAGACCAAAGGCCTGGCCACTTAGCTAAGGGGCAGGAGCCATAGAGCCCTGGCTTCAAATGAGGGTGTGGCCCATCAAATGAAAAAACAGGGAGTAGGGGGAGCAAAGGTTAATAATGAGGGAGGAAGAGGGCGACACTGAATGGAGAATTCCTGGCAACACCCAGTGCCCCTCAAAGTCAGTTAAAGAGCCAGGGCATTAATGAATTTGAAGGCCTGGTCTCCTTACCAAGAGACATGACAGTGGACCACGCCCAAGAGGAGTGTGGGTTGTACTGGCAGTGGCACCCCCTTCAGAGCTGGGCAGCTAGGGAGTGGCAGCTGCTGGCCAGGAGCCCTGCTCTGAAGGTAGACTAATGAAGCTGCTCTACCCCTTAGCTACTAGGAAGCTGGGTTTTAGCTCCGGCAGTAGATGCTCATGCACTATGCTCCGGCGATCCCAGGTTTTATTCTACCTGCTGACTGGCTGGGCTCTGTATTACACCAGCAGTGCAAAAGCAAGGGAGGCTAAACTGTAACCCCTTCTACAATAACCTTGCAAACGTCCCTCCTCCCCCAACTCCTTTCTGAGTCAGGGCTCTGACCTCTACAATTACAACACTGTAGAATTTCAGATTTAAATTGATTTAAACCTCATGCAATGTATGATTGTTTAAAAATCCTGTGACCATGAAATTGACTAAAACGGACTGTGAACTTGGTAGGGACCTAAATATATAAGCTCCTCACTGCTACAAATGCACCTCTCATATTTCAGAGTGGGCGCGGGCAACCTACCTTCATTAATCTCTGCGCCAGTCGGTACAGCTGTCCCTTATGCTGTGAAGGGCACACAGACCAATGTGAATACAATTGTGTGGGACACAACACATCAGTGGCACATTTCCTTTGGTGTTCCTTGTGTCTGCTATTGTAGCTAGCCCTAATAACTTAGGATTTCACTGATAAAACACTCTCAATACGCCCAAAATGAAATTGGGGTTTCTCCAATAAATAGCAGAAAAGCACCCAAATGATTACTTAGTTTGTGCTGCCTTCATCCCAGTGCAATTTGTATAGACGATGTGCTGCTCCCTGGTTTGTATCGAAGGGTTTGTCTCCAATGGGGCCTTATGTGTACAACAAGGGTGTGATTTTTAAAGTCCAAGGTGCTGTGCACTGGCGTATGTAGACCCTGCTGGTGTGCACTAACGGTTCCCTAGTGCACCGTAACGTAGTGCTGTTTGAAGCAGAACTATGGGAAAACCCACTAGAGGAAAAAAGGCATTGAACACTAAAGTGGGCATTCGATAACAAGGATGCAAAGTTTTGCCTAATATGTAAGTTATTTGTCTATATAGCATACACATTGAAATAGATCCTGTTTAGGCAAGAATTTTGGGAAGTACCTCTTAACACTCTTTTTGTTACAGAATCAAAGAGAAAGTCCCACCCCTCCCCAACAAAAAATCCTATTCCCTGATTTTTGAACATCTACATAGAACTGAGAACTTGCTAAAAATAACCTCCCCCAAATGACGTGAATGACCCCCCCCTAAAAAAAACAGAGCCCCTTCACTTTAGGGCTCTGGATAAAACACTCTTGCCAGCATCAGGGGGCAGAGTTAAGACTGTGGAGCACAGAATTCATCTGTGCTTTAGCCTCCACACACTAGTGATGGGTGGTGTGTGGTCCATCAGAGCTGCCCTTGCTAGGGTTTCTAGGAAGATCATCGTGACCGGTGAAGTCAATGACATCATTGTCCTGTCATTACTGCCTCTGACAGTGCTTTTAGAACCGTCCAGGTGACAGATGCTCAGAGGTGACGGAAGGAGATGGCTTCTCCTAATTCCAGTTCAGCCTCAGGCTCCCTAGGGCTTCCTACAGGGAGCTGAAAAAAAGGAAAAAACAGTAAAAAGAATCGTGCAGCACCTTACAGACTAACAAAACATGTCGATGGGATCATGAGCTTTGGTGGGCACAGCCCACTCCTTCAGCAGCGCTGTTCTACCAAGGACTCAGTTGTGAAGAGGTCTGGCTGCCCTCCTGCCTAGTGCTGTGCAAAATGTTTCATTTGCACCTTTCTTCCAGCAAAACAGGCGCGTTCTGTGAATTCACATCAGCTTCGCCCAATCGTTTGAGTCGAAAAAATTAAAAAAAAAAGTCTGAAAAAGTCAAATGTTTTGTTTTGACATTTTCAAAATGAAACAGCCTGAGAATTCAACCTGCTTTGAAAGTAAAAATGTATAAAATGGTCAAAGTGAAAGGAAATGTTTTGTTTGACTTAAAACAATTTTGGGTTAGTTGCCTAAGAACGGCCATACTAGATCAAATGAAAGGTCCGTCTGGCCCAGTGTTCTGTCTTCCA